TATTAGCACGGTTTTTCTGTGACACACTACCGCACAGAGTGATTAGGCTAACGTGCAGTAAGCACCTCTTGTAGACGCGCCCTCCATGTCTTAAAAAATAACAGGCCAGATTCTCAGCTGGTGCTGCTGTAGCAAGGGGAGCTATTCTGTGTTACACTGGCGGGGTGTGTGGCCTTGCCACAGTAGCCAGAGAAGTCAGGGCAGGGTGATGGGGACAGCAGCCCCAGGCTCCAGCTGGGGGTGGTGGGGAATGGGAATAAAACAGCTGCTGCTACAGTTGCAGGATTGCACCGGCAGCAGTGGGAACCACAAGTCACCACTGCCTCTGTGTGTAGTTGCTGCCCTGGGTGACCAGCAACATTGTTATGCCCCTGCACAGGAGGTGTTATAAGGCAGGGGCAGTACTGTGTACTTCCACCGGCTCTGCCACGCTCGTTCTGTTTGTACAGAAAGGACTTAATTCTGATGGAATTGATGGAAAACTTTGGGTGGTGCATGGTCTCAGGAGCTCCAGGGTCTACCCACACATAGGACCCGATCCATGTGCTTCCTTGGCCCATAGGGCTTCTCATGTGCTTGCAGATAAGGATGAGCTGAGTGCTCCACTGGGCTGACACCACCACATTCATAAGATAGAGTCTAAAAAGGTATTGTCCCTTTTATATACGGGCAAAGCTATTTCATTAAGATTCCCAATAAAGATACTGGCTTTTTTGGAGTAACTAACTACTTATCACAAAGTCTAACAGATTCTTATCACGATTATTCAGTTAGCTGCTGCGTCCAGTTTAATGCCCACAGAGAAAGCCCCCTCCTCGCCCCTACACCCGCTTCTTTGTGAAATCATCTGGATTGAATCACGTTCGGTAACTATAGCTATACGGTAATGCAGTTTAAGTGCTGTATCTCTTCAGCGCAACCCCTCTACTTCTGCACCTCAAGACTTCGTGAAAGTCTTTTCCACGGAGTACACAGGAAAGGCGCACGGCAGACAATTCCTGACAAACACATTTACTGTGCTGAAGGAAAAAAAATTAAATGAAATGGATTTTTTTTTTTTAAGGACAGCATTTTTCAAGCCATTTTAACAAAACACTTCCATCTACAGTAACCATGGCAACAGATCAGTGAGGCTCCCAAAGTGCCAATCTCAGTGTAATTAAAGGGAAAAAAAAGGGGGAGTCAGGGAAATGGGAAATTTGAAGTGGGGACAACAGTTGAAACCTCCTCAAGGGTTTGAGCAGATGTAGGTAGTGTGTGGGGATAGTTTCATTTGAATTGCTTTGGGTGTGCTCTCTTTTGAGCCAAGTTACTGGAAGGCCCAATCTTCATTAATACGCCTTATTTTCCACTCAGCAGGCCAGCATGTTCCAGAGGAGAGTTGTCCAAAAGAAATGAAATAGCTCCGATACTTTTTTTTTTTTATTGTACTTGCAGAACTTCTTTTCTTGTCTAGTTTTTCTATTTGAGGAAGGGATATGACCCCTTTTACTGCAATGTGCAAGCTTTTTATGGCCATTAATGTATTTATCATCCCAACACCCCAGTGAGATAAGGGAGGAGAGCTGCCTTCATTCTACTGACAGGGCACTTCGACTTGGAGGGCCTGATTTCTAAAGGTCTTTACCTGCCTAAAAGTGCAGTTTGGCACAGTGGGACATTGGTAAAGGGCTGAAACAAGGATCTGGGAGATTGAGGTCCTAGTCACTCCCTGTGTAAATTGTCTGCTTGAACACAAGTCTGCTTTTTACCAGGTGAGGTTATACCAACAAAAAGAGTATTAGGTTTTCCTAAACCTGATAACTGGCTTGACACAAATAATGGAGATGCTTCCCTTCTGACTTTCTTCTTGGGGCAGCATTCTGTGCTCAGAAAGTATGTGTGCAGCCTTATTAAAGGGATCCTGCCCTGGTTCCTGAAGTGCTGCTAAACATTGTCGAATTATCCCTCTTGATTTCCAGATCATAGGTGGAGCCACTGGGGAATGCAGGAGGTTGTGGTATTCAAGACTGAATAAATAGAGGATGGTTTAGGTTGGGAAGTCAGTCTCATAGTCCTACACTTTGCATCTGTGGCCTAAAGGTGGGCAGTGCAGGTGCCCACGTTAGCCTGCAAGCAGGTAGAGGTTAGGGGGATTAGGTGGATTAGCTAACCCCCCACAAATGTTCCTGCTGTGCCATGCAATGTTGTGGTGGGACCACGTGGCTCCACATGTGCTATGTCCCAAATGAGAAGCAGCAATACTGCTTTTGTGCCACGCTGTGGGTGGGCTAATGAACTCTGCCTCTCAGCAGAGGTAATTAGCCTGGGCTCAGTGCCACGCAAATGCATCTGTACTGCTTCTGGTATGGGAAGCAGCATGTGCATAGCTGTCTTGGGCACCTCTTCATGGCACTGCCATGCCAGTATGGCCATACCACTCTACCTCTTGTCCTGATTGTATCTCTTCT